TTGAAATCATGTCTACTTTTGGTACGAGTATATTCATGAGGTGTTTTATTGTTTGTTGAAAGTCAATGTTGTTTGTCATTTGTTCAACACTTTTTTTCATTTTGATAGTTTCTGTAAACTCATTCTATAATCACGCTATTAATAAAACTTAATTAACCTTAACTGGATAATCATTCAATTCTCGATTAAATTTGTGGTAATTATGGACAATGACTTAATTTTACTTGTTTTTTTAACTGATCATTTTCAGTTGATAACACTTAACAACAGTACTTCCCTAATTAAGTATGAAAATGACCTGATATCAATATTTCTAAAGTTTTCTGCAATTTGCTCACTAGTATCCAGAATGTTTTTTTTTTCAAAGAACTGGTCATTTTTGACTCAATACATAAACTTGTTGTCCCCCGCCTTTTCGAAGAAAAAAGGGGGGATATAGTAGTAGGCTCCGTCCGTCTCTCCGTCCGTCTGTCCGTCACACTTTTGTGTCCGGTTCATAACTTTGTCATTTATCAAAGGGATCTGAAATTACTTGGCACAAATGTTTGTTATAATAAGACGATGTGTCACGCGCAACAATCAGACCCCTACCTCCAGGGTCAAGGTCTTACTTGCTCATTCAAGGTCAACATTGTCTATTTGATGGTATATGTCGTGTCCGGTCCATAACTTTCTTATCTTTGAAGGGATTTTGTAAATACTTGCCACAATTGTTCACAATAATGAGACGATGTGTCATGCGCAACAACCGGTCACCTACCTCCAAGGTCAAGTGACACTTGGAGGTCAAAGATTAACATAGTCTTTTACAGGGTATATTTTGTGTCCAGTCCATAACTTTTTCATTTATCAAAGGAATCTGAAATAACTTGGCACAAGTGTTTGTTATAATAAAACGATGTGTCATGCGCATCAACAGACCCCTACCTCCAGGGTCAAGGTTGCACTTGCTCATTCAAGGTCAACATTGTCTATTTGATGGTATATGTCGTGTCCGGTCCATGACTTTCTTATCTTTGAAGGGATTTTGTAAAAACTTGCCACAATTGTTCACAATAATGAGACGATGTGTCATGCGCAACAACCGGTCACCTACCTCCAAGGTCAAGTGACACTTGGAGGTCAAAGATTAACATAGTCTTTTACAGGGTATATTTTGTGTCCGGTCCATAACTTTTTCATTTATTAAAGGAATCTGAAATAACTTGGCACAAATGTTTGTTATACTAGTAATAAAACGATGTGTCATGCGCATCAACAGACCCCTACCTCCAGGGTCAAGGTTGCACTTGCTCATTCAGGTCATCATTGTCTACTTGATGGAACGTGTCGTGTCCGGTCCATAACTTTCTTATCTTTGAAGGGATTTTGTAAATACTTGCCACAATTGTTCACAATAATGAGACGATGTGCCATGCGCAACAACCGGTCACCTACCTCCAAGGTCAAGGTCACACTTGGAGGTCCAAGATTAACATAGTCTTTTACAGGGTATATTTTGTGTCCAGTCCATAACATTTTCATAGATCAAAGGATTTTGTAAATACTTGCCACAAATAGTCACTATAATAAGACAATGTGTCTTGCGCAACACCTGCATCCCTACCGCCAAGTTCAAAGTCACACTTAGAGGTCAAAGTTAACATAGTCTGTTTTAGGGTATATTTTGTGTCTGATCTAGAACTCCTTCAGGATTTTGAAATAACTAGGCACAAATAGTCACAATGATAAGATGATATGTCATGCGTAGCACATGTGTCCCTACCTTCAAGGTCAAGGTCACACGTAAAGGTCAAAGATTTACATAGTCTGTTATAAGGTATATTTTGTGTCCATAACCTGGGATTTTAAAAATATTTTGCACAAATAATCACAATAATAAGATGATATGTCAGGCGCAAAACATGAGTCCCTACCTCCAAGGTCACACTTAGATTTGACATAGTCTGTTATAGGGTATATTTTGTGTCCGATCTATATCTTCTACATAGTTTAAGGGATTTTGAAAATACTTGGCACAAATAGTAATATTAATAAGATGATATGTCATGCACAACACCTGCACCCATACCTTCAAGGCCAAGGTCACACTTAGAGGTCAAATGTTATTATGATAGAATTTTAAATTCCGTGTTTCATTTTACTAGTATTTCTTTAATAAATGTATTGTTGCATTTGCAGATCTAGCATTGATCATAATATTGGACTGAAAGTCCTGAAATCCATACCTCAATCTTTTGAAATAGCACAATTTTATGCTTCATATAAAACTTCTCCGAGGCGGGTGACGTTGGTAACTCTGTTACAAATTCTTGTTAAAGAAGATATGGATTACGTATTTCTTTTTCACAAAACAAATTCTTATGTAAAAAGGTAAAAAAAGTTGGTAAGAATATTCAAAAGGTTCTATACTATTCCTTGAACTTTTGCACAATGACTGTAAAGGAGGTCAGCTACATATTGAATCATTGGAATAAGGCAATGCTTAGTTTATTTGTAAGTTACTTGCCCGTGAAATTACATAAAACTGACAAATGGATTCTTATTCAAGGGTAGATAATAAAAACATGAGATCATAAACCCCCATTTTTTTTATATAATTGTTCTGTCATTTCTTTTTATAATGTTCTAAAACCATATAAACATGTTTTAAAAGATCTGAGACAGTTTTAATTTTAATATATTTCAATATGAAAAACAAAGCGGACGTTTTTAAAACAGTTTCATAATTATATAAGGTTTGGCGGCCATTTTTACTTTTTGGCAACCTTGTTGATATTTTTAAAAGATTATCTTTATGCTGGTATATTTTTTACAAACTTCTAAAATAACGAATAAGTGCAAGTTCACAGTGATCTTGTAATGACTACAGCTGAAAAAACTATAATATTCTGAAATTTTAATTTTTGGCGGCCATGTCGGATTTACACACAACCTGAATCCAGGGGCTAAAAACTATATTATTCTGAACATTTTAATATGGTGGCTATCTTGGATTACGGCGGCCTGGATTACGGCGGCCATCGTGGATTCGTACATCCTGGATCCGAGGCTTGAATATAAATATATGTATAATATATTAAATATGTGCTATTTCATATTGTTCTGGTAATGACAGCTGAAAAGTTAAAATTTTCTGAAAATTTTAATATGGCGACCCTCATAAAGGCGGCCGTATTGGATTCGCACAACCCGGATCGATGCTTGAATATAAATATATGTGTAATATATTAAATGTTTGCTATTTCATATTGTTCTGGTTATGACAGCTGAAAAGTTAAAATTTTTGAAAATTTTAATATGGCGACCCTCATATAGGCGGCTGTATTGGATTCGCACAACCCGGATCGATGCTTGAATATAAATATATGTGTAATATATTATACTGGTATTTCTTACTGTTCTGGTAATGACTACAGCTGAAAAACTATAATTGTCTGAAAACTTTAATATAGCGACCATCTTGGATTTTGGCGGTTTATTGGATTCGCTCAACCCGGATCCCAATGAAAAGTTTTTAATTAACCAACAACTTTAACAAGTTTCATTCTTTTCACAAGAGGTACACAATACGCCCTATTTTATGCTTGGATTTCCTAGACTACATGTACTATTTTGAGGCTGGGCCAATATGTAATGCAACATGGGATATATTTTCCAATTTAGCATGTGATTCTTGTGTTTGTGAAAATTATATGTTATGCTTCAAAAATCTGCTTTCAAATTTTACCACAATCAAGTGTGTGGTAAACCGATTAAGAATTTTATTTACATTTTAGAATACCTTGCACGAGTAACTTCATGTAACATATGGCTAGTATTGTCCAACAACATTGACCTGACACCCTGTACTCGGTATATTCCGTAATCTTTACGATTTATGTGTAAAACGGTATGAATATAAATCATCCAATTGTTAAAATTAGCGTTAGCGCAATTGGTAAAGTGGTTTCACTTGTAGATTGTGTGTACTATCAGTGTAGTATTTTTAATAACTGCCTTTAAAGCATGTATGCGCTTAAGCATATTCGATTGCATAATGTCACAAAGAGAACCGTTGAAAGATACTGTAATGAAATAAAAATATAATTGTGCATGGAAACACCACTTAATTAAAAGGTATTCTAAAACCAGGTGTAGTAAAACGATTTCAAATTAATTCTTGCAAGTAAATTAAAACAAATTCGCAACGTGGTGTTGGTATGGAATTGAACCAGAGAACTTCAGATCGGTAGTCCGACATCTATACCACACCTCAATGATGAGTGAAGTTAGCAAATATATCGATAAATCCGATAGATACTGGTCAGTGTTTATTCAAATGACCTTTACGAAAGTTAATGAAGTGCCAGGTCAATATTGTTGGACAATAAACGTGCAATTTAAAGTTCTGAAATACGAGCTTACAGTATAGCTCGAGCAAAACATTATTTATGATGATAAATGTAATACTTTTGGCAGCAATGAAATATGTTATGCAAATGTTTCTTGGTAGATGCAAAAAATGGCACGAGTCAATTAAAGATGTATGTAAGTCTAATAGAAAACGCTCCATATTTTTTGACAAAAATATTGATAAAGTCAAACTTGACAAAGATGCAAGTCTTTCTCTTACCCAGAAAGTCCATATCGCAGGGATAGATTTTAGAAGAATCAACTCATACGATTTCGATGAATCACATAAAAAGTGAGGCGAATAACTGTTTTCTGTGGTGATTTTACTGTTGTAACCTGTGATATAGCTAACTTACTATTTTACGCCGGTTCGCAAGAAGTTTTGGCCTTCAAAAATTAAGTCGACCATGCATTGCGGTTGACAAGTATAAAAAGAAAATTGTGTACGTCTTTAGTCCAAATTCCTGTTTCTGCTGCTGTTCTGTCATATAGATATTGTTTTAAGAAAAATTTGAAAAACACTTCAACAGAATTCGAATTGATATTGAACGACTACAACAAAATAATTATTAGGAATAAAATCATTGTATAATTAGGAACACATGTTATCTGAAAGAATCGTTTATTTTTATACTCAGCGCGTCTGTTACGCAAAGACTGATTTAGTAATGATGCAGACATCATTGCAGACAATGAAATAAGAAAATAAAGAGAAATATTAAAAAATTGTTTTTATTATTAAGATTGTTTTGTTACTAATCAAAGTCATACGTATTGTGTTACATCTTTAACATTAGAACATCCGAAGTTTGCGGGTTTTTGTTTTTGTTTTTAGTTGTCAGTATTTTTACTTGCTCCTTCTGACTTCTGATTATGGCGCCAGACATAAAAAGCCTATTTTCTTATTTCTGCATTTCCATTTTGCAGGACAGACATCGTATATATCGCAGTATTTCAAATCTGTGAAGAAAAGTGAAAATGCGTTATTCATGCAAAGACATGACTTTGGTTTATTTCCTTAAAAACGTTACGATTTTACTTGAGTTCGTGTCACACACAGACACACACACACGCGCGCGCGTACGCATGTATTCACACACGCACGTACACAAGCACGCACACACAAATGCATGTACGTCTTGGACACTGACACATATTACTGTGTTCTATTTAAACTTGATTACAAACATATGTATACAAAGTTGTTTGTTAACACATCAGTCAATGAAACTTTGCTGTAAAACATTTGTAAGAGACACTACATAATGAACAAATATTATTCAGCACTGCATTTTAAGCTCGAAATAATTATATCAGTAGTATCAAACAATAATCTAATACATTGAAGCTGGTGACATTGAGAATATACCTTTGTTCGTACATCTAAATTATAGTATACTCACCTCCGTTTTCCTGCGTATCATATAAGGAAATGTGCCACGTCCCTCCACATACCTCCTTCTTATTTCCAGGACATTTAGCTGTACACCCTGATCCTTTTGGATAATCTTTTATATTGTTCCCACAGAAACATTCCACAGTATACTGAAGAATAAGTGGAAGTTTTAGAAATACTATTCCTTAATATTTGATTAACAACGAGCGCAAATTCTGGATTTTCTCCAGAAGATGTAACAAAATTTCGACATGATAAGTAATAGAAAGAGCATCGCAACACGAGGCTATCTGATTTGTACGAGGGGCGTGGCTCCCGAGTATAAATCAGATTGCCGAGTGTGTGATGTTCTTTCTCTTTTGTATCATAATAAACATAAAAACACGTTCCCTGTTGTCACAATATGAATCCCCAGAAAAAAGTAACCAATGAACGAGCATCTGAACATGATATTTGTATCGCTTCGTCACAATAAGTAAACCCCAGCAAAAATGAGCCAATCAATGGACATGCTCTGGAGTGCGGGTAACTAATACCTGCACTCCAGTTAACGCATTGTGCATGTATATATACGATTAAACTTTGACACATTTTCAACAGAAAGGTCCCCAAACTATGATACAATTAATATTATAGAGGAGTTTTGGCATTTAAATAGTTTTCCTAAGGGTCTCAAGAGTAAAATTATTGCGTGGTCACTTTAAATATTAGTAATTGACCCCCATGATACCCCTCTGGATGTGACAATAGATTTATATCTAAGATATTTTTAGTGTAACCACTTGCATCTCTTGACATATTTGCAGAAAGTTTGCATTGTTTCTTATGAGATAATATTTATTCATACGATGAATATCTCTAAAATATTCAAAATTCCCACATTCTGCCTAATATGAATAAAGTTATTCACGTTTCCCATTGTTATTTCATTCCAGTTCATAGTTAAGTTTATGCTTTGATAAGTCTACAACATATTTTGTTGTTACAATCCAGGTTTAGTTCACTTGAAAAAATTTCATATTTTGTTTAAAGGAAGAGTAATTCATGTTTTTAATCAAAAATGGGAACGTAAGTTATCTACCAGTGAAGTATCGTATGGATATATTAAAAATATTTTTGAATTTGAATTTTATATAGACATTTTACCTAAAAAGTTTAGAATTGCTACATCCAGACTGCGTTTATTATCACATAAACTGAGAATTGAAACAGGCCGATTTACGCCAAATAGAATAGACCGCAATCAAACAAAATGCATACTTTGTGACAGAAACGATATAGAGGATGAATATCTTTTTGTAATCATTTGCCCGTTTTACGATGAATTAAGAAAGACTTTTATAAAATCTTATTACTACAGACATCCAAGTGTTTACAAATTTGTAGAATTGATGCAATCTAGGAATTTTAAAATAGTAAAGAGTCTCGGTAATTTTTTTATGTTAGAGCGAGTCAAATTGTTTAGTTTTTCATATCATTTATACTATCATTATCTACTAATAAATGTTACTCGCATATTGAACTTAACTAAATCTAGGTTGTGTATAATTTTTGTATTCATAAACTGAATTTCAACTGTATTCACATACCAATCCTCCTTCTCCGTGTGATGAATATTTTTTTTTACCGCGGCGTGCGTGTGTGTGTTGGTGTGCTTGCGTGTGTGCGTGCATGCGTGTGTGTGTGTGTTTACTTTCTCCCACTATGTTATGCACTAATTTCAATGTCATTGTCATGTGATTATCTATCTATCTATCTATCTATCTATCTATCTATCTATCTATCTATCTATCTATCTATCCATCTATCCATCCATCCATCCATCCATCCATCCATCACGTGTTTTGTACTCGTGTGTAGGTATATATTCGGTGTTTTACTATTGTTTCCCACACGAGGCAGTATTTGACAGCTTTTAACATGTTCTTTAGAGTAATAGTTATTCCCTCTTCCTGCCCTCCCAGTTTCTAAGAAAGGATGTTATTTAGCCGTTTTTTTTGTCGAGAACAAAGTATCGTTATTAATAGTTATGTTTTCATTTATCATTATTAATATAGTTCAGTATTTTTCAGGATTATCGTTGGACGAATATGCATATGGCTTTCTGTAGTCAGCTATAGAAGATACTATCTACAGGAACCAATGGAACTGTTGTATACCTGAAGAGATTTTAACACGATCCAAACTACATGCATTTATTTGTTTAAAGTTGTCAAATACAATGCCTAAAACATATTCTCTTGTTTTGGTTTCTTTCTAGTAAAATTATAACATTGGAAAAGTGAATAATTGTTTTACTCACGATACAATGTGGGTAATTTCATATGTCTACAATTTCATATAAATTACTTCATACGTATCTACCTCTGTTCCAGCATATCTGTATCCGGCAGCCTTGCATCGTTGTTTGCAGAGATCGCCATTGTTGTTTGCGAATTTAGGCATTCGGTGAGACAAAATGCGGACAGTCTTATCTATGTAGCATCCGAGGTAGCCCGATGGTACATAAACTGATTGTGATATAAAAGAACAGACAATAAAGTTATAAAACAAGGAATTTATTTACGTTTTGTGAACGTTACATGGTTCTTATGTGAATATTATTCAATATGATTTTTCTTTCACTGCTGTTACCAAATTTCATTCTAGAAATTTTCGCATACTTTTTTTTATTTATTGATAATTACATTCTTCTTTATAATGACAAAGATTTTTGACCAGATGCATGCAATTAAAATGGGCTCATTTAATAACTGACTATGATTCCATTGTAAGTTCCTGTTATTTATCAAAGTTAATATAATAATTAAATGATAGCATGCTTACCTCCTGAGTCGTCTACCTTAGTATCGTATAATGAAATGTGCCACGTCCCTCCACATACCTCGTTCTTATTTCCAGGACATTTCGCTGTACACTTTGAACCTTTCGGGTATTCTTTTATGAAGTTTCCACAGAAACATTCGTACGTAAACTGAAGTGTCGACAAAATTATCGTAACACAGATGTATAGAGGATATTGAATGGGTGTACATGTAGCTTCAATCGTGAATGAATGAAATATATTATGCGAGTCAACGATAATAATATTCTATTTATCACATACCAAAAATAAAGACTGTTTCAAGTGTTAATAAAGAAAACAAATTATCACTTCCATGAATGTTTGATATAATGCAACAAATAATGATCATTAAAAATGATCTCAATGGCACATGAACAAATATTTATATTTCTGTAAATCAAAGACAATTTCGTCACATTGATCCAATTGATATGTTAAAAATATTTGAATATTAATAAAACCTATTTTATGGTATGCCTGAGAAATTCGGGGCTATAATTATGTTGATAAGATCGAATCTGTACAAGTTAATTCTGAAAACAATGTTTTAATTCACAGCACACTATTTTGCTCTTGATTACCTCTATGTGACAAATTGTGCTAAATACTGGCTAAAATTGGGATATCACAAGTACCAAGAATATTGTTATTTAACGTTTAAACGACTTTATGAACCTGGACGAAAAGCATGTGCTGGCAACATTAAAGATACGCTTTTTCAATTTTATTTTGGATACATATGGATCTCTCATGATGTCGAGGATCACACAAATTTCATTAATTTGTTTAAGCAACGCTTATTTGATTGTCATTCATAAAACTGGCATAATGTTGTTGATTCTTCACCATGACAAGGAATATAAGGCTTTACTTAATGTTGAACGATATTTAAGTTTAGATTTAGCATATAAGTATAAAAGATTTATTTCCAATTTTTGCTGTTCATGTCATATTCTTATGGTAGAAAAAGAAAAAACGGTACTGTAGACAAATTGGAATGGATAGAGAATTACGATATTGCTTTCATTAAGATAAATATTTATGTTATTGAGGATGAATATCATTTTTGTTCGAATATTAACTATATAACTATATCATAGCTGTCAAATTCAAATTCAAAGATTCATAGTAACATCACTATTCCAATCTTAATTTTATTCTTCATGTCATCAACAACTACAGATGAAGTAATAAAGTAATATCAATCGCTAAATAGTTATTACATGCAATGAATACAAAAAAGGAAGAGCTTAATACTGTATAATCATTTTATAATTCAATCTATTAAATTCAGCTACAAATGTATTTGCAATTTATCACTCTATTGTTTGATTGTATATAACTAGAAATAATCTGAAACTGAAAAATACCTCTGTTCCAGCATATCTGTACCCGGCGGCCTTGCATTGTTTCTTGCACTGGTCGCCCGAGTTGTGTGCTGAATTAGGCATTCTGTGAGATAAAATGCGGGCAATCTTATCTATGTAGCATCCGAGGTAACCCGATGGAACATAAGCTAAAATAGAGAGAAAAAACAACAAAAAACAGAATGCCCAAAGAATGCCCAAATTAAAAAAAGTTGCAGGCTCAGTTTGATTGAGCATTTTCATATATTACATGTACATAAATATATATGGGCCGCCCCATGAGGAAACCAACGAAGTGCAAAAAATGTACTCTTTATAATTTTATGAAAACACAATATTTCTTACTAACTATGGTACATTTTTTTTATATATTTCAGGTATTTTAAAGGTTTTTAGGTATTAGTTCAAAATCGACAGATACATAGATAAACTTATTTATCTCCAGTCATTACGTGCTACATGCTTAGCAGCAAATAAAAAAAAATAAAAATGCTGTTAGACCTATATGTTGGGAGAAAGTAAGAATGTAACCATTTAAATAATATAAAAAATACATGATTAAACCAGACAAAAGCAGGATAGTTTGAATATATGGTTGTTGTCGGGATGAAGAAGGTTTATCTAGTTCGCTGCGATAGTCAATCTTGGCTCGCTTAAGCTCGCCAGATAAATCCTCTCCATTCCGACATTAACCGTGTATTCTCCATCTGACTGATAATTATAGTGGTCGGAGATATGAAAAAGTATTGTGTATGAAAGTTACGCAGAGAAAAAACCAACTGTTCAAACATCAATGTAGAAAAAACACATTGCACTCAGTCGGTATTATGCTCGCTATGTAAAATGTACGTCACGGTTATAAACTGCCAAAGTTTAGTGGGCCGATAAAAAAATAGTGTCATCATTGGTGGAAATCCAGAAAACTGTATTATTTTAAGGTCAGCTGACACATACAATAGTAAGACAGTAAGACAAACTTTATTTATTGTCGGTTATGGTTAACAGTACAAAACATAAGCTTTAAGCTTGTATCCGACATGAACAAACGATAAGAATAATAATAATAATAAGAAGAAACAAAATAAACACTTTTTAAGATAATAATACATACAATTAATTCATATTGTCACTGTAATGAAATCAGAGCATTTACAATGAAAATCAATCATGTCTAATGAAAAAAGATAACAGGGTTTTACATATATACATATATATATATATTACATTATTAAAGGAAAGAGATAACTAACATTATTTACAAAAAACAAAAACAACCAGGAATTAAGTGAAATAGAACATGGAAACTGGAAAAGATTAGATGCACATAGAGCAGGCAAACTTGTCATTACTCCATGTTGCAATTAGTCGTTTGAACTCATTGAAATCAGATGTACATCTAGGATCATTAGGTAAACCGTATTCCAGATTTTAGATGCTTCAAAGCGAAAACTCTTTTTACCATACTTGGTTTTGCGTACTTTAGGTACATCTAATGTATTTTGTTATCTAAAACTATAATTTGATGAACGCACATTAACAAGTTCTTGAAAATATTTAGGTGAAATGCTGTTAAGACATTTAAAGACTTCAATAGCGAGTTGTTTAATTCTACTGATATGGAGTGATGACATATTGGTCAGTTTAAACAGATCTTCATAAGTTGATGAATAGTCATTAAAAACAATTTTCAGAGCACTATGTTGAAGTTTTTCCATTTTGTTTGTATTGTCCTTGCTACAAAAATGCCAAACTAAAGGAAAGAAATTAAAGTTGGATGTAATAAAACTTTTGTATATAAGAATTTTTGCATCCAGATTAACATTAATAAAAAAGAAATATATTTGTGCAAATTATCAATCGCAACTTTTCGTCCCTTTCAGTAAGTCTCGGGAAAAAGACCTTGAAAACAATAGTATGTTTACACAGAATTGATACGCTAAGAAAATAAACAAGAAAACAAATGGTATTTTAATGATAATTTTATTTCCAATATATCAAGTATAAGTCCGACTAAAATTAGTAAATTCATTGATACAAAGCAAACAATAATTATTTATATATTTATTATTATGAAGAAATCGAAAGTACAAAATGTCAACCTGTTGACACTATTGTACATCAGTGGGTATATTTAATTAGAAATGATTGTTAGACATATTTTCAATCATTATTGTACCGAAACAGACTTTTTTTCCTTTGGATTTCAAATAAATATATTCGTTTTACATTATTGAAGATTACACTCTCTGTCTGAAACCACGTAGTTGAACTACTTTCAATCCGTATTATATTCATTTATTATAAAAAGGGAATGTTTTTTTTTTTCTAGTATATAATTTGAAAAACACTAATGTTAGTTCACCATTGCTAACGGCTCTTCTTCAGTGGCATGTATTACATGAAAATAAATCAAACAAAGGAAGTACCGTTACCTACTGGAGCAACTCCCGCCGTGGCGCTGCCTTATTTTTCACAAATCAAAATGTCAAGTTTATGTTAAAAATGTGTGACTTGGTTCGTGTTAATAAATTTATATACCATTACAAAATATCATTTGTGTTGACTAAAATAGAAGCTTAAGAAGACAACGCAGTGATGAAAAACGTACACACAGCTCTTGAATATTTGCTATTGAAAGTTAAAGTAGCTTTGCTTAATATTTTACTGGTCTTGGAATATTAGCTGAACATTTACTTTAAATAATATAAATAAAAGAGATGCAGACATTACGTGATTAATTTCCAAACTGCGTAACTGTTTTACATTTATAAATAACTTAGCATTCAAATAACTGGATTGTGAATGTGAAACTTTCTATATCAAAAGATTACTAGATACAAATATTCTACTAAAATGAATATAAATGAATATTTATTCATAAAATAAGTAATGTCTAAATAATGTAGCAAATAAACGAACACATGATCACAGTATATAAACGATTTGAACCCCAACCGGATCTTGTGAGAAGATCTCAGCATCTAAACGTACAATCAGACGGGATGGCACATTAAACTATTAAAAATCGGCTTGAATTTAATATGTTACGGTATGTTAACATTTGAATCATATTAAGAAATAATTTATCTTTGCTTAAATATACATCAATAACCTTCTTCGTAAAATAAATGCGCATAAAACGCTGTGCTCTTCGCCTCATGTTTTGTTTATGTCAACACACGCCGATTACACAAGCAAATGTATGCCTAAAATTGTTTTATATCACTATAACTCATATCTGAATCTTTAATTTATTGTCTTAACCTCATGTTACCGGACATACACTTGTGAAAATATCTTTGAATATTGATAAAACACAGTAAATAATAGAGGCGACATTTCTAATAACTGTACCCGTCTTGCTAAAACCATTTTAATGATCTGTACCCTACTTGTGTTTTCACTGAACCATTACTTGCGAGTCACTTTTGATGATTTTTATTGTGTTTTTGTCGTATGTTCCAAATTTTATTGTGCAGAATATGAAGTTATTGTGTCACAAGAGAAGGGTACATGTTTTAGTTCTATGTAAGTAACTAAAACTGCATATGAATGGAGGAGCTTCGTCATGTTTTCACTGTCTACGAAAATACCGGCATGAAGTGGCTGTTTATACGAATCAGAAAGTCAATTATTTCTTGATAGAAATAATTAACTAACAAACCTCATCTTCACTTACCATTCATTTTTCTTTGGAAAGATATAAAGCTAAAATATTACATATGTACTATAAGTTTTTTATATTTAGTTCAACGGAATTGTTGTTAGTTTTGACGTGACCGTTATATTATTAGTTATAAAGATTGTTGACATGTTATATGGCCCTATATAAACGGCTATTTGTAAATATAACCCGAGCCGCTAGGCGAGGGTTATATTGCAAATAGCCGTTTATATACGGCCATATAACCTTTCAGCAATCTTTATAACGAATTTATAATACAGCAAACATCACTTTTTAGAGAAAAAAGGAAGATTTCTTTATGAATCGACAACAGCCGTGTATATAAAACTATATAAACGTCACGATTATCCAATGAAAAGCGACGTTACAAACGTGCAGTATTATAAAACGTCACGTATCAATAAACCTCGAAATATCATGCAGATTACTTATTTCAACATGTTGAAAGCTTTACACCTACCGTTGATTTCATTCTGCTTTTTGAAACACTGTTTTATATTCTCAGAAATTCATTGACTTTCTATTTCTGACATGTACGACTTTTATTCTTGTATATCTTTCATAGGCGTCCACAATTTTGGCATCTTTTTAAACGGAGAATATTCGGGAAATTTTGAAATTTTAATTGTCAGTGTTTCAGCTATTGGTGTTATAAACTTCTTTTTTTCGTTTACATTATTGGCTGTGACGCTGAAATTTTTTAAGTAGGAAATTTTTATCTGATCATTATTTATTCTTATTTTCAAGTTGCAGTCTGGATGGCGAATAATTATGTGGTCAATGGTGGCATTGAAATTCGTAGTCTTTACTGAACAGTATATGCAGTTGTATTCTTCCATGGTGATCCGAAAGAAAAATATACATAGCAATATATATTTTATTAAACAAATGATTAACAATATTATCAGTTAAACCAATTTTCGGTAAATACCTTAGATCCCACCTTATATACTAAAATTCTATTACAATCATTTATATTTTCTGGCAATAATTGATACAAAATCGCAATGAACGTAAACTTTTTCTCCAATAAATCTGTAAAAATACTCACAAGTCAGGGTACAGATAAAATTCGTAAACTCACAAGTAGGGTTCACAATCACCAGCAAGTAACGTTCAGTTTACGGAAATGACCTCCTTGGTAAAACTCTTAAATTTATGTTCAAGATACAGCAATATGTTATGCATATGACTAAATTATCGTTTGTTATTGATTACTGTAGTAGTTCGATATCACAATTCAATGTTTAACTAAATCAACATTGGAATAAGACGGATTTTTGTTCGTGTTCAGTGTTGATCACCTGAAAGCTGTTCGTGAGTTTCGATTATTTTATAGCCTTCGTGCTAACGTTTATGTTTTGCATAACTTAGACGTTTAATAAAGTTTCTCTCTTATAATATAAATATAGATTAACTAACCTAACGTCCATTAGTATCAATATAAATACCAATATCGTAGACAAGTGAAGTGGCAGAATATGGCTGACACTAAAATCTTCTCACAAGATCCGGTTGGGGTTCAAATCGTTTATATACTGTGATGATAGATTGTAAATAAGTCGCAATTACTGCTTTACATCAGAAAACAGGACGAAAGTTTTCATATTGACATAATTCCCTTCAATTTAATAATTTACCTGCATAACCGATATATAACCGAGGTGGCCTAATGAAATTTCTGTAAATGTCCGTCGGAATTTAACTTTAACGTTCAGGTTATAAAAAGAGTGTGGTTGTCTTTTTTATATAGGTAGATTTATATTTTATCATGATCATCCAATAGCAATTGTTTGTCAACCATTATTTCAGTAGTAATATTTTCTAAATATATAGTGAATTCAGCCCAACTTATTAATGAAACAATGATGATAATGTCACTTTAATTGTCTCAATACTTGAAATAATCAATTATGCACCTAAAATGATTAAATGATTATATAGAGGATATTTGTTTAGTTCAGTGTAAGATCGGAATATATTTTATCGAGTGAGCACCAAAAGGTATATTTCACCACTCGTGAAATATGAATTTTTTGTGTTCACGAGGTTTAATATATTTCGATCTTACACTAAACAAAACAAATGTTCTTTTTATTATATGCAAAAACGTTTAAAAAGACATTTTAATATAACACTGAGAGAAAAACGCGCAAAATAATAATACAACGTGACGTTATTTACGACGTCACATCATTAAGTTGGTTTTCAGGTATTTTACAGAAACAACGTAAGGGCTTCTTAAATTCAAAACAGTGAAATTATCAAATTGATAATTTCACAGTATATCGCTTTCAATACTTTTTTATGAAACAACAAGAGTAAAATAAAATGTTCATTTTCTTTACTTCTTTTAAATCGTTTTTTAAATTTCACATATTTTATTAAAATGGTTCTATTTATTATTGAATAAGATCCACATTAAATAGTAACATTGATTTATTTATTATGTAAATGATGTCTTGTAAATATCATTAATTGGTACCTTTGTTGAAATTCCAACTATTCATGAAGAACATTAGAAATATAAATTGTACTGAAACTTCCATTGCAGATCTACACAAGTTTAGCTTAATTTTACTCAAAATTACGTAAGCAAATGTTCTTGCTACTACAATTTGTTTAATATTTATACAAACTCTAGTACGAAGAAAAAAGAAAATTTATTTAAAATGGTTGTCAAATAGATAATCAACGAAGCATTGAGATTTTATGTTTGATAACATATTAAGGTAAAAACAAAATTGCGTTCTAACTACATAATATACAGACTAGTACTCGTATAACTTTAAAATCTTTCAAATGATTAAAATAGCATAAAATGATCTCCAGCTTAGCAGCAAATTAATCAAGAATCATATTAACTTGATATTTTTGTTTAGATGTTGATACCATCTTTTTCTTTTTTTCTGTTTTTTTTTCTGTGTTTTTTTTTACGAGTCATATCTCAAGTATCCCTGTCGTGGTTTTAAGGTAGGCTTCAGCTTGTTTATAATGATTGTAAAGTCAATTAAAAAAAAGCTGAAATATCTGAAATTTTATTTTGTAAACTGATATCAAAATACCAACTGGAGGACAATACCTTGAACTTGTCACCAACACCGGATTGAGATTGAGGATAGCTCTCGATATGTTTCGTAAAGTTACTGTACAAAAGACTCCATCTGAGAGCTTACATTTGAAGGCTTACTCACACAATTGTTATTTTCTTCTCCTTCTTCTTTTTATTATTTCTTTTAAAGTATTTTGTTATGCAAAAAGTACAAATAGTAGCAGGTTAATGTAGAAAAAAGAAAACACTAGGAATGAGGACAAGTAGGAATGATTGACGGTTTTACAGAAGATAATTCTTTAATAAAATTACTTTCAATCCACAAATCGGTAATTGACAAAAGTTTTAATCAAAATAAAGTTGTTCGCTATGTTAACGAGAAGCTCAATCTCAATTTTGTGATTGTCTGTACTGTTTCCTGCTCTATGAAAAACGAGCAAGACATTCACATACTTGACATACCATACAGTTTAATATTATGCGCTCTCTATTATGCATTTAAATTTATCGCATAACGTCATGGTATTTTCCTCTGGACATCATCAATCTATGTGGTCACAATACACTTTTTGTTTGTTTGTTTAATCGTAACATGAACAACACCTTCAAAAATTAGACCCACTGTATAATCTATGACGTTTATTCCTGCTGAAATAGTGTCCATTCATTCAATAAATATCAATCTATAGATAAAGTATCTATCAAAGTGCAACTTTCCCAATATAATACTGTCTTTGAGATATTTAATAGAGGCTGATTCAGTTAACATTAAAGATACAATAATAAAAGATAATATTTACGAAGGCATGGATTGTTCAAATAAAATTATACTGTATGTATTTGTATGAAAAGGGCGCAGTGGGTCTTACTTCGGTAAAACGGGGAATAAACACAGAAACAGATTGACAGTTCATAAATAGCAAATAAGAGACCAATCGGTAAAAGTACACAAGATTTTTGCTGAAGCAAATCTCATATTTTTTGTATTTCCCTTTATTTTTTTCCATGCAAAAGCTCGAGGAATTTTATAATATCATACACTTGTTTGTTACTATATTTATCACGTTTTCACGTTTTCAATTACTTTTTTTTGTCCATGGACCCGATTTTAATCAAGTAATCACTTCGATTTACAGGTAAGCCAGAATTCCTTCCGATTTCTATAATGAAATGTCATATACTGGTTTCCCCTTCCGTGATTCGCAGCATGTCATATCAATGAATGAGAACGGGATCAAATTTCACGCATACAAGCAGTATAAAAGACAAAACAAAAAATAAACTTGAATTTGGTAATATATTTCTTACATTTGTATCTTCTAATTATTTTGAAGTACACAGTGGGTTATGTATTTATTGTTGTACATAAATTCGAAAGCTATAAATAGATATGACCATAACATTGTGAATATTTATAGAAGTTTAACGATTGAAATCTTGTGTCGCGCTATGGTTGTAAATAACGATTACAGGAAATGAAATACAAACATATTCATATACCATAAACCGCATTCTATAAAAAATATTGGAAAAAAAATAAGTTTGCCAATTTTACGAATTGTTATATCATAGTATTGTCATTTTGAAATTGTTTTTTTATCATACTTGTCTAAAATTCAGGTAACAGTCTTCCATTGATAAATAATGTTTCCTATATCAACATGCCATGCAAATTTATTCAAGATTTTTAATGTACCATTTTTTTTGTTAACGCGTAAAACAAAAAAAATCCTGAATTTGGTCTTTTTGAAATTCATGCCAAATTTTTCATTCCAGTGCGCTACTTTCAGTATTTATCTTAAAATATAGGTACTGTTTCTCAAGTCCCAGGTATCAAATAAACCATTGTTCTTAATTTGACATGGAAAAAATGCACGCACTATTATATTAGTCCCTTTTGTTACTATTTTGTATACTGTTTGTATATTTGTTACGCTTATAATGATAAAAAACCCCAAACTTTGTTCATTTTTTACTTTTGTTTTGTATGTTCCAAAGAAAATACATTTATTATTCTTATCTCTAGCAAGCGATGGACAATGTCTTTCGTCCGCCCATTCATCTATGATATACATGTCACATGTGTACAATTCTGGTAAAATCCAATCAACCAATGAAAAGTTTATAAGAATATCTGGTCATCAGATGTCTATTAGTTAATCGTCACTTGCTGTTTTTCTTGCTTGGACGCCCTTTGATGCTTTGCATCAATGCATTTATTGTAATAACATGATATACCATTTGCCGCAAAATATGTAACGGACATTTCGAAAAATAAAGTCGATGAAAGGTTTTTTGTTTTGGCTTATTTACATATGGATTTTTATATTTTTACCATGATAAGTTGTTGATATTTGTAAAAATCGTTGCATTATAGTTGAAAAAGAAAATGTACATGCTTTGAATTTTTTTATCACATCTATTTTTTTACAGTAGTGACACAAACAGAGCAATGTTGCACTACTGTCATGTCACCTTACATTTACAAGTCTTGTAAGTCTGTTTGTATTATACTGTGCTCCTCTTAGTTCACGGTACTTAACGCTTTGAAACCAGGATGAAAACAACAATGCAACTTATGGTACAAAAATTGTCATAAGCTGTATAATATAGGTATTTTCTGCTGTATGACACGAGGAAACAATAATATGTTAAGTCTAAATCAGTTTAAATGGGCCAGACGTAGACCATACAGAGGCCATTTTGAAAACTGTATGTCATCATTTAAATCGCGGTAATGGTGTTTAATTTCAGTTCTCTCATGTTTCAGTTAAAATTTCTACATATTATTTTGCATAATTTTAAATATTAAAAGTATTTTCACATTGAAACTCAAAATTTATTTTTTCAACAAACAAGAACATTTAGAAATGATGATTGTTTCAGACGTATGCACAAATTTAACGGACTAGTGTTGCTTTTTGCAGAAGTTTGTAAAATGTTTTCGTAAAATTCTAGAGATTTAAAATATTTTGCACAAAATCTTTGTTGTTTATGTGTATGAATAAAATATGTCACTTCTGACCAATTTTGATATTGGTCACATGAAAATATGCCATTACCGTGAAATTAATGATGACGCGGAATTAGTGATGTTGAGTTTCCTTACCAGAGGCATCAGTGAAAGCATTTTTCTTTTAAATTAAATAAATGTCCCCTCTCTCATGGAGAGTGCATACGATAAATATCAGTATGCAAATTAAAATGATTTCGGCTTATTCCCTTTTTTTTAACAATTTAACAATTAATTGTATCGCAGAGCACAGGTCTCTGAGGGTTTAGTGTTAATACAATTTCTTTTTATCATGTAACACTTTTTGGATAATACAATGTAATAAAAATATATAATCGGTTGTGCTTTTTTTTTTTTATCTCAGAAACCAAACTTGTTTTCACAAGATATATCTTCTGTCCCGCACCATTTGGTCCAAGAATCAGGATAAACACTTGCCCCATAGATAATGTTAAATAATTTCACTTAGTACGATGTGATGAAATGTTTAGCGTCAATACAAAGTTCGACCACAATCTTACCCGATGATGCAGCTTTATTTCTATTGCATGAAGAAATCTCTTTTAAGAATTCATCTACTGTGATTTTTGTATCTAAAACTACTACAAATGTTTAATCTAAATTTACTTCTAAATCATTTATATCTGTATTTCTTGGCATAATGATTAACAAAATCATCTAAAGGAACATCACCAGTTTGTAATCTCAGCCTTACTTCAGAATTTATTAATTCTCTTCCAAATTTCAAGAAAGAAATCTATTGACAAAAGTAAAATTATTTCCCATATCCTATCATGTAAAACACTAAAAATATAATCCAGAGGGCGACAGTGCAATATTGCGATCACGACTATGGGACAGTGCGATGACGACAATGCGATAGCGACATCGCTATAGTACTATCGCACTATTGTATTGTCGCCATCGCAATATCGCACTGTCGCCATCGCACTATCGTATTGTCGCATTAACAAACAATCGTCATAATGTTATCGCACTGTCGCCATCGCAATATCGCATTTTCTTGCATCTCAGACAAGATTATCTACCGTTTACACCGGTGCTGGAAAACTCTGTCTTACACCCCCATGTAAGGCAAGTCGCGTGCTTTAAATGACGTCACTGACGCGCGCCTTTTATGAATGAATCGCGTTCTTAGGATGACGTCATTTTTCCTTTATGGATGAAGTTGTATGTTCATACGCTACTATAAGAAAAAGTGCGTTATATATATATATATATATATATATATATATATATATATATATATATATATATATATATATATATATATATATATATATATATATATATATCAGTTTTCATAATTTCTGTTCCGAAAATATTTGACATGTAATATGCTAGAAAAAGAATCAAACACGGCTGTTGGTACAGACGGGAATATCTATCTCTCGGGTAACTGTTAAGCGAAAACTCGGCAGAGCCTCGTTACCGCTGTAAGAGGTTACCATCGAGCTAGATATTCCGGTCTGTACCGGCAGCCGGTGTAAGATTCTTATAGACGTCATCGCACTGTCGTATTGTCGTCATTGCATTGTCGCCATGTGGATAATAAAGC